AATATGGACCCTTAGGCCTTTCAAGGGACCCTTATGGGTACATATAGGGTATATAGTAGGTGTTTTAGGATCCCAGAGTTCAGGGCCCACACTAGGGGCCCATGGGTTCAACCTTGGATTCGAGGTCCTAATCCGAATGTTCATGGTTCCTGAGTTTCTGAGACTCATGAGGCAGTCCACTTTTGGAGATTAGGCGCTTAGAGTGTAGGGTTTAGGGTTTAGGGGAAGTGTAGGGCTTAGGACTTAGGGCTTAGGATCGGAGTCGGAATCAAGAGTATCTAGTACTTTCCCCGTACAGCCCCTTAAACAATTATTGCACAGTCTACCCAGACCTTAAACCCTAAACCCTAAACCCTACTTATCCAACGCCCTAGGGTAACTGGCCCAGGTGGTGCAAAGGCAAGGCGTTTACAGTGACATTCTCACAGAGCCCTATGAAGAGTTGGAATCCTTGGAAGAGGACTGCCCTAGGGTTTTAGGGTTTAGGGTTGATTAAGGCTGTTTTGGAGTTTAGGGTTTAGGTTGTAGGGTTTAGGGTTTAGGGTTTAGGGTTTTAGGGTTTGGCGGTTTAGGATTAGGACCTTAGGAGTTTTGGTGTAAAGGTTTAGGGTTTGTGGCTTAGGGTTTTTAGTTTAGTGCGAGTCGTGGGGTGTTTTCGGGACAATGGAGAGTTTCTGGTGTTTAAGGGTCCGTTTCAAACCGTTTCTGTTCAAAAAATCGTTGAGATTACGTACGCCAGAATCCTCAACCCTAAACCCTAAACCCTAAATCAATCGCCAAGTTACACCAGAATCCTAAACCCTAAACCCTACAGGAGCCAACCTTCGACATGCTTTTGCCTGCGCCCCTCAAGCGCATCCTCATGCAGCATCGCAGCTTGGCTTCTTTAGGGTTTTAGTACAGGGGCCTTTGTAACTTAGTAGCTGAGTAGGTAACCTTTAACCTTTTTTTTGGGGGGGTTATATGATCCTACTATACTTGAAAAGTTTTTTGGGGGCTAGGGTACTCAGCCCCTAAGATAATTACCTATAATATTCTGGGGGCTCCTTGTTATGATTATAGGTACAATGGGCCCCAACAAGGTTCCTGATTATGATTATCGGTGTAATGGGCCCCAAGGGGTTCGTTATTATGATTATAGGTATAATGGGCCCCAAGGGGGCTCCTTATTATGATTATAGGTAAAATGGGCCCCAAGACCCTATTCTAATTATTAAACCCTAAACCCTGAACCCTAAACCCTAAACCCTAATTAAGGCTTCAACACTAGGGTTGCGGGTGCTACTGTCTTCCGTTGTTCGCGTCTGTACTAAGAGCATGGCTCGGTCAGTTCCATGCTTCTTCCCGAATGGCACCTGTGTTTAGGGTTTAGGGTCTAGGGTTGAGGGTTTTAGGCAGCAGCCACAGCAGGAGGAGGAGGAGCAGCAGCAGCACAACACTCGGAGGAGCAGGAGCTGAGGGCACATTGCCCCTATCCATCTGCAAACATGTTTTGAAATCTTCCATCGCCAGCACGCCATCCGCGAACCACATAAGTTATATACCATGCCCCTAAACCCGAAACCCTTACGCCTCAGGTGTGACCCTTCACGCAAGTCTCCAAATCACTGGGCTGTTCACATGTTAATCCCGGAACATAAGCGTAGCGAAGATGCTTTTGAACGTGAGATACACTGAGTATGTAGGGCGAGGTCCTTTTGCTGATCTTTTGTTACTCTATAGATCAGCACCCATACCCTCCACCGCAATCTGTCGAAAGCCAAAGCACCAAAGCCCCGAACTCCTAACGCCTCAAGCGCAATTAGAATAGGGTTTAGGGTTTAGGGTTTAGGGGCCTCTAACAATTAGAATAGTAGGGTTTACGGGCCTCTAACAATTAGAATAGGGCTTCGGGGGTATATACCACAACGTTGGCAGACATCACACGGTCTTGTTGATGTTCCTCACATCCAGCAAACGTAAAGCCATCAAAATCCTCAAACACTGACACAAACAGAGACCTGACAACGCCAAACCCTATGACTTCCCAGAGACTCCAATATGCTTTACATAGGGAGTAGACCTTAAATTATAGTAGGATCCTTAATATGATTTAAGGTATATTCCTAATTAAGGGATATTGGAGTCTCTGGGTTCATAGCACCCGAGACCCTTAACCCTTCACCCTGACCCTCGCCAGAAAAACCTAGACCCCAAAACCCTAGATCCAAAAAAACGTAGACCCATGAAGGGTTGCAAGGTGTGAGTCATGGCCAAGTTCGTCCCGTCGACGATTGATTACCCGTCTTCGAGCCAGGAATGTCCTTTCCCTAAGCGCCCAAAGGACCCAATAAGTGCCAGGTATGTAAGCGGTTCTCATAAAGGGTTCTATAGTCCACGAACCATCACAGGGTTCTATAATGCATTGGTAGGGGTGCATTGGGGATTATAGGGCCTAAATGACCCAAGAGTTCGGTACTTGGGGTCAGAATAGCAGTAACGTAGGTTAGTATGAAAGGCTAGAAGGGTAGTTCTCTAAATTCGGGTCCCTGTTTAGATCCCCAGAACACAACGGCATTCTGCTAAAGAGGACCCGAAAAGGGACCTTAATTTAGAGAACTACCTATGCATGATGATTAGGTCAGGTAGTTTGACTTTAGGCTTAAGCGGTTCCTACTACAGACTTGACGCATCGATACAAGAAGCGGGTTCCTTTTTTAAAGGGCCAAGCCCCAAACCTTCGACTTTTTGTCGCAGGTTCCTTTAACAACGCCTCATATGGTAGTTATAGGAACCCTGCGAAAAGTATGGTTTTGGTGGATCAAGGTATAGGGTAGTGAGTAAGGTAAGGGGCCCTCTATGGCTTTTCGATGCTTACCGTTGCAAAAGGACAGTCCTTGGTCACCTTTGGACCCAGATTCCAGGCGTCGCAGCAACGGTGGTATGTGCGTAACGCGCAAAACCTGAATATAGGGGCCTGCAAAATTACCTATAGTAGTTGGGGATAGTATAATGGGCCTTATTAAGGCCACCTACATTCCACCCCGAAGCGCCAGAAGTCACAATCATGTGAAAGGGACTGCCAGACCTCTGAAAGAGGCTTCAGTTCGGTTAGCCGCTGCCCGCCCAGAGTCGTCACGTTGAGTTCCTAGGCAAGAAGCATGTCTCCGGGTTTAGCAGGGGGAACAGAGTCCTTGTTGGATCATACAGGGAATCTCGAATTCGTTAGCACGTGCGGTTGCAAGTTCATTTATGCCGACTATAAGAGGCTCCAATATCACTGGGCAGAGGCTGCAGTTTTCGCGGTTGCTTTCTTGATCGCAATCGACGCCGAAGACGTGAAATCGTGCCATTTCGGGCACCCTTTTCCGAGGATCACAGCGAGGAACGTTTGTCTGCAGACATCGGTCACGAGGCCGCGGAGTTCGTGGAGAAATGTCTGTTTAGACTAACATAGCGGCCTTAATAATCAGAATATGGCTTTGGGGTATATTATACTATTATTAATTATACTACATTTATAATAAGGAACCCCCAAAATAGTATAGGTAATTATTTAGGGACCCCCAAAATAGTATAGGTAATTATTTAGGCCCCTACATTAACTAAGCTTAGGGTCTCGGTGTCCGAGAACCTCGGTTGTTTCGGGATGAAAAGCCATTCAAAGCATGGAATTAGGGACATAGAACCCTTCCGTTTAGGGTTTAGGGTTCAAAACCCAA